GCAATATTTGATGGCGTCAATGATGAGTGTATAATTCGGAACCACTAGTCAGAACTTCCATTTTATAATTAAAACTTTCACTGCATTAATGTTTCATATTTTTCGTATGTCTAAATATAAGTTGTGGTAAGTAGATTGTAGTAACAAGTGGTGGTCATAAAATGTGATGTTTAATTGCAATCATTCAATTAATAATACATGTGGAACTTGGATAGAACGTGAGGTAGTCTTTCGCCGCATGGATTGTGGGCGAGCTTTTCTATTTGGGTAGCAAATGAGTGAGAAAGAGAGAGAAATTGAGATAAATGTTTATCTTTTTCGGGTTTATTTCATGATCATAGGTAGATTAATGCATGGCATAATTAATTTCAATCGAGAGCCTACCTATAGCTTTGTTTTTTTGGTCGAAGCCTACCTATAGTTGAGTAGGCCAAGATTTACCCAACTTTTTGCCTCCAAAGTATATAAGTCATGGTTGTCACTATGAAATTTGTTTCGTTTTTCATATATCGATATCTCATTTTATCTCCCACAATAAACAGAAAGTGAACTCTCATCTTTGAGCATGTCTTATGAAATAGAAGGGAATTGAGACAACTTCAACCTAATATAATTAACATTTAAGCAGACATCCTAACTATCGGATTTGATACGGACTTCAGATCAGAGGCCTAAAAGCACTTTTAATGTTAGTTTGCTCTTTTTATATTGTTCTATGCAGGTGCCATGCATAATAAAAGGGGGTTGCTCTAAGAAATTGCTAAGGGTTAATACCATGAAAATTCCGAAACTGGTATACATGTGACAAATTTACTTTAAACTAATTTTTTGACCATCAAAACCTCAAATTGGTACATCTGTGACAAATTTACTCAAAACTAATTTTTTAACCACAAAAAACCTCAAATTGATACATCTGTGATAAATTTATGTTGAATGGTGGCGACCGTGAGGTGGTCTTTCGCCGCGTGGACGGTGGGTGAGCTTTTCTATTTGGGTAACAAATGAGTTAGAAAGAGAGAGAAAATGAGATAAATGTTTATTTTTTCGGGTTTATTTCATGATCATAGTAACTAACTCAGTGTATCCGTTTCAGATGAACATATAACCATAGGTTTAATTAAGCATGTAAGATGAGATAAAAAAAAATTGTAATGGGAAAAGAAAAGTAGAGTTAATTAATTCAGAGGATCACAATTTTTTTTTTGTCCAATTTACTAGGAAACTATTGAACTTGAGCCGCGCTTTCTTTATCTACACAAGGTGGACTTTTCAAAGGAACAAATAAACCTGAAAAAATAAACATTTATCTCATTTTCTCTCTCTTTCTCACTCATTTGCTACCCAAATAGAAAAGCTCGCCCACTATCCATGCGGCCTTAGACCACTCGGGGTCGCCACCATTCAACATAAATTTATCACGGATGTATCAGTTTAGGGTTTTTTGTGGTCAAAAAATTAGTTTGGAGTAAATTTATCACAGATGTACCAGTTTGAGATTTTTCGTGATATTAACCCTTAGCAATTAACTAGACATTCATTTTCAATCCGACCAAAGGAAAGATGTTGAATATATCTCCATCACCATCAACAGCATCGCCTTTACTAATTTGGGAAGCCCGCATTATCATTCGAATTCGCCCAACTGATAACGGGGTATACTTCCTTCAGGTGCGTGGTGGTGAATGTGAAGTCCTCGGATGGCCGGTGAAAGAATACTAAAAGAAAAAACTCGATTTATTTATGTAGCCTCATTGTAATTATGTTAACCAAGTTCATTGAGCCGGTTAAAGTCCAGATAGTCTTGATTTAGCGACGAGGAAAACTTAACTCAGTGTATCCATTTCAGATGTACATATAATCATAGGTTTAATTAAGCACGTGAGAGAGATGAGATTAAAAAAAATTGTGATGAGAAAAGAAAAGTAGAGTTAATTAATTAAGAGGATCACAATTATTTTTTTTTGTCCAATTTACCAGGAAACTATTGAATTTGAACCCCACTTTCTTTATCTGCACAAGTTGGACTTTTCAAAGGAACAAAAAAGGACTGATGTTACTCCAACAAATATTAGGACGTTCAATCATAGGATGATAGTGCGGGGGCGTCAACGGTCGTCGCCGGCCAAGTTTGTCTCCTTAATGCAACTGGTGGGCGACCTGTCAAAACTCGGAGAAATAAAAAGACTATGTATGGAGAAAGTTTGCTTAAAAAGTCTTTGGGCAGAAATTTTGTAGGAAGAAATAGAGTAAAAATAGATAATTGAGTCAAATAAACACACACCCGCGCACTCTAGCACAAATAGGGCGATATCACCTTTTGCAGTGGAAGTTAAACATAGACATAACAATTTGATCTACGTTAAGGAAAGAATTTCTAAATGCTTAGCTCGAGGATGCTTTGCTTGATGTGTTCTTTACATGATAATTCGTAGAAGACTCCGCAGTATGATTTTTGTGCTGTTTTTTTGCCATTCAGCATGTTGCGTCAATGTTGCCCTTCAAACTAGTCAGTGGGGAGGAGGGACCATCTCAAGTTAATGATTCCATGAAAATGTTTGCGAACTGTGAGGACTACGAGACGTGGCGAGTCACAATAGTACCGAGAGCAACTTGTCGTAAACAAATAAAAGATCCCAGTCACAATAGTACCGAGAGCAACTTGTTGTAAACAAATAAAAGATCCCAATGTAATTTGTTTGAGCATGAAAAACCGCATAGGCCTTATCCCCCCCGGTTGTTTTGGTGGCTAGAAATAGGTGGTTGTCATTTGCGTTATTCCCGTGTTTGATTCTGTTCCATCCCCCTGCAGTTGTTTTGGTGGCTAGAAATAGGTATTGTCATTTGCGTTATTCCCGTGTTCGATTCCGTTCCATCATCCTCTACTGTTTTGTTAGTGTAGCATGGACCTAAATGGTGATCTATATTCTCATGGCGGGGTCACTACTCTGGCATGGAGAATTTCCCGACAAGGGTGATCTAATACGATTCCTCTCTTGGTCCTAGGGGCTGAAGTTGCTAATATCACAAGGTATGCTTCTAGTGGATTTGGGTCTGGGACTTGGGGACGAAATGCCAGATATTGAGACTCCAGTGCGGCACGAGAAAAGGAAAGTTTTTAGCTTCTTGTTTTTTCATTTATGTTTGTCGACACATATTTTTTAAGTTGTCCAAAATTAATTATGCAAAAATTTAGGGGTTAATGTTCTTAATTCCTAAAAACAAAAATATTTTCTATTTAATTGTATGGCATGTAGATATTAGGTTCATTTTTGCATTATTAGAATATATTTTCTTTTTTTTACAAAAAAACAAATTAAAAAATCTTAAAATAAAAAAAATCAAGCTGGGCCGAGCCCGGCCCAACCCGCTCCCTTTTCTCCTCCTTTCTGCGCGAGCTGGGCCCAGCCCGGCCCACTCCTTCTCTCCTCCAGCCCGGCCACTCTTCCTCTCTCCTCCTTCCTCCCCTGTTCACCCCGATTGGCCGCTGCCTGGGACGACGCGGAGAAGCCGCTCCACTGCACAAAATTGACCACCAAAATCAATGGGGTAGGGGGCAAAGATAAGTGGCCGGGGGCCACTGTATAAGCCGGCAAAGAGGAGTGAATGGGGGTCGGCCAAAAATAGAGTAAAAGAGAGACCGAGAGATTTGGAGAGATTTGGAGAGAAATTGAGAGTAAAAGTGCGAGTTTTGATTATTTGTAGGTTCAGAGAAGCCAGCCTAAAGTGAGAAGAGGGCCGGACTTTCTTCAAAAAAGGATCAGCGGGTAGGGAGGCCAGTTGGGGTGCCACTCTTGCTTCTTGTTCTCCTCCGCCAACCCCCACCACTTTGACTTTGTCCTGATTTTGAGGGAATGCAGGGTTTAGCTTGCTTAGCGAAAAAACCCAAAAGAAAATTATATTAGAAAATATATAAACACGTGGCAGCCGGAGGGATGCGGACCCCCAGATCCAACCAGCAACTTCGCATGTGCTCACTCTTGCAATGCAATGATATCTACGTTGGTACTTCCACTCGCAAAAGCACTCTTTTAATGTCTTATTATTTTCATGATATGCGTACATCCTCCACCGAGATTGGACCCCACGGAGCAGAAAGGAGATGCAAGACAACGTAGGTGACGACGACAGAAAGCGTGGGCCTCCGGATGTTTTGGACATGTATGGAACGAACGAACGACAGAAACATTTCCACGGGAAAAAATGCCTCGCAAAATCACCACCATTCGTCGTGCTCTCGTGGGATTGAGCGCGTCAAATGGTTCCAATGCCCAGCGATGTCTTGACAGCGGAGTGGTCAAAATGAGTCGTAACCCAATTTAATTCTACACGAAATGCCACTGGCTCATCACGTGTCCCTTCGGAAGGTATTTGGAAACTCGTAATTGATCACGATTAGACCTATCAAAATAGGTCATAGATCAATTTCTTAATTCATATATAATAGACCGAGTTGTTATATGGGTTATTTATATTCAATAAATTGATCATAAATGAGTTTAAATATAATATGGGTGTTAGATGGATCATAAATGGATTCACAACTTATTTAGACTCAGACCACGTCCATGACTCTCTCTTCATTCTCTGTCACCCTCACTTTATCTCGTGCTCGCCTACATTGCACTCTCACGTCAGTTTGGATATGAATTTTTATAAATTGAGTTAACTATGAAATTGTTTTAGTAATATGGATAGGGTATGGATCACTAAATTTGCATTGCATGAAAAATGGGTTAAAACGGATTAAATGGGTCTATTTAGGTCAAGTCATTTTCAATCGGACCCAACTCAAACCCGACTCGTTCCACCCGTTTGACGGGTCTAATCAGTAATCATGATGTGCTAACATGTTATCTTTCACTCACTTCCGAAGACGCCGGTGAGGGGGCAACTCGTTAATGAAATGGTCCTTTCTTGTCTCGGTTATTTTTCGATCAATAGTAAAGCGGGCAAAATTAGAGCATGGTTAAAAACGGATTTTCTTAAATTAAGACACACGCATTCGATCACAAAGAGAGGACTGCACCAGTCAGGCCCAACCTAACTCCAAAGCGGGCTTCACATCGAAACACAAGAAGCCCAAAAAGCACCATCCTTTCAATCCAAATTTCCCCGCCAAAACCACACACTCTCTCTCTCTCTCTCTCTCTCTCTCTCTCTCTCTCTCTCTCTCTCTGTGCTTGGGCGTTGGTTGATGCCATGGAGAGAGGTCTGATCTCGGTGGATCGGTGGGCGGAAGGGAGCCAAGCCTACTTCCTGACCCACCTCCACGCCGACCACACCCGGGGTCTCACCCCGGACTGGTCCGGGGGCCCCCTCTTCTGCTCCCGCCTCTCCGCCAAGCTCCTTCCCTCCAAATTCCCCGGCTTCGACATCTCCCTCCTCCGCGTCCTCGACGTCGGCGCCTGGCACTCCCTCTCCCTCCTCTCCCCTTCCTCCGCCTCCGACACCCTCGTCCGCGTCATGCCCCTCGACGCCCACCACTGCCCCGGTAACCGCGCCGTGCTCGTCGCTCCTCCCCTGCTTGCTTTAATTCCCGAATGGGGTCGTCGAGGCCTCGATTGAATTGTCGTGTCGATTGCTGGATTGCCTTTTGAGAAGGGTTTTTGCTGTTTTGGTTGATGGGTTCGTTTTCGGGTAGGTGCCGTCATGTACTTGTTTAGCGGCGACTTTGGGAGCTTGCTTTACACCGGACATTTCCGCTGGGAGACGACGAGCGAGAAGGCGAACAGGTCGCGGGACATGCTCGTTAAGGCCCTTAATGGAAGCAGAGTGAACGCACTGTATCTGGATAATACCTATTGCAATCCTTCCTATTCTTTTCCTTCTCGTAGAGATGCTGCTCAGCAGGTACTCTGGCTTTGTTCTTTGTACTGATTTCCATATCTTTCGCTTGTTTCTTGCAAAGAGTAGCTGCCCTGTTTCTTTCCAGCCTGTACATGTCGTTGCTTGGTTAACATGGTTTTCATCACTGCCCCACCCTTAGTTTGTGAAGCTTTTTGAAGTATCAATTTCTGGAATCTCTTGTGTAGAAATCAGCTGATTATTAAGAGAACGGTCATGGTTTGTCGCCCTTTATTCAGATACTGGCTATAGTTGAGCTTCTGCACATGATATATGATCCTTTCGGGTTCTTAGTGGATAGTGATTGTTTGTTTAGGAGAGAAACGTCATTGAAGTGCATGAGCTTTTTAAACAGCTTGTGTCTATCTGCTGTTTCAAGTCCTTCCATCAAAGTGTTAATCCACAGAATAATTTCGAGTCTCAAGAAATTCCGCCTCTGTGCTCATTTCCATAAGAAATGCCTAAGATGTATTTTTCCTATAAATCCCCATGTGTGTGAGGTTCTCTGATATGGTATTGAGAGGTCGTGACATTATTTATTCATACTTTTAGAATAGTTTTCTCATAGCTTTGACTCTGTTAATACCTGGTTGCAGGTTGTTGATATCATTGCTTCTCATCCTAAGCACCATGTCATCATTGGGATCGACACATTGGGCAAAGAAGATCTTCTGGTTCACATTGCCCGGGTGCTCAAAATAAAGGTATGTCAAAGATGCTCTCTTGTAAGCACACCGTTGTAAAATAACTTGATTTTACTTTGGAGACCCATTAGATTGAATAAATAACACTGACTATCAAATTCGTTCCACTTTATTGATTCAAAATGCATTAAGTGAACCGATTCACATGATCTGCACATGGTTGAGTATTGAGTCCATAAAAGATGATTTACCAGTGCATTACGCATTGTAAATGCTTATCGGGTACAATATGGCATTAACTTGCTTCATCTGCTACCTATAATTTTAGTTTCAGTATCTAATCAAACTTGAGACCATGTAGCAGAGAAAAACACAGAAAGCATATTTCTTAACATGTCTGGCGTGATATTCTAGGAACATTTATTCATTCCTCTTTTGTTGAATAGTTAATTGTCATAATAGAGAAAACATGCATGACTTATCTTCGATCGAATTGTTATAACAGATATCAGGCATATTAATTTACTGTTATACAAGGAAGAAAATTGCTGCATCATTCTTTGACGTGCTTTGCTTACTCTGGTATTTTGACTTTTTTCCTTAAAGATTTGGGTGTGGCCAGAACGGTTGCAAACGATGCATATGCTTGGTTTTGATGAAATATTCACAACTAAAACTTCTCTCACCAGAGTTCGAGCTGTTCCTCGCTATAGCTTTACCTTGGATACTTTAAAGGGATTAAATAAGATGCATCCGACCATAGGAATCATGCCTTCTGGTCTTCCGTGGGCCTCAAAGCCACTCGATAGAAATGAGAATTTCTTTGATTCCCTAGCAAGGTCATACTACAATAACAAAGCACAGGAGGTTGCTTCCATGGAAGAAAGGTTGCATCCAGAAATTTATACCGTTCCATATTCCGATCACTCTTGTTATATGGAGCTTCATGAATTTGTACAACTTGTCCAACCTATTAACATGAGGGGCATTGTTTCATCATCATCCTGCTACATTGATCCCTCGTATTATTTTGGCCACTGCGACGGAGTGTACCAAACATTCCAGAGAGTACAGCATAAAGGCAAAGAAAGTGGGAAGGAACATGTAAGGGTTGTTCGGGCAGAAGCCTCAGTCGAAGTCAATGATTTGATAGATTCTACAAGAAAAGGACGAAAATGTGGTACTGTTGGAGTTTCTGGTGTTTATATGAGTAGAGTGAGTGCATCGAGACGAAGACGGCGTGGTGCAAAAATTATGGAGGATATCCATGCTGATTGATCTTTCAGCACTTTCTGTGAGCATGCTTATTTAGTGGTTCCTGCTTCAGCAAGTTGGACTCGAAAATTCACTTGTGAAGTTACATATCCATATCTAAGTTGTAGTCAAAAGCGATCCTTCCAGCTTGGATCATTCTCAGTGCCATTAAGATTGAAATGGCTCAGCATTGCTGATCAAATGGCGTAAATATTGCGACCCTTAAATGTTCATTCACATTCATGGAAGAGATCATTCACCTTGTCCGAATCCCTCATTTTGAAGGCGCATCCCAGTAGCAACTGACTGCCACTTGGGTCGCTGTGCAGTTCTCTGTCTTTGCATCTTTCATTTCTCACATGCCAAGAAGAGAGGTACCTTCTGCTTGGTTCTTGAGGCTTTTTTCAGAGTCTTTTAACTCTAGTAAAGCTTTCAAAGATGAAAATGTGGCTAGAAATATTTTATGCTCTCAAATGCTTCTAGATGTTCATCTTTATGTGGTCCATCAAAAGCTTCTAGTTTTTGAAGGCTCATTCAATGTACAGAAACCGGAGATATAGAGAAAGAAAAGTGCACTTTAAAATCACTACAGCATTTTGTTCTCTATCAATTGTTTCATGAACTGCAATTAGCCAGTGAGAACGGGGTCGTCATTAGCGATTTTGTAAGACAGGTTTGAAGCCTTTGAGTTATCGCGTGAAAGCAGTTTCTATTGGGTTTACCTAGGGGAGTTGAAGGTAATAGAAGGAAATGGTCATGTTAAGTCAAATGGAGGAGCGTCATAGTCAATGTTGTTGGTCCAACTGTCCGACATCCTAAAGACCGGACACTTGGGTTTGCTTCCTTCGCTGTTTGACTAAAACTGGTCGAGAGTATCTTCCTTGTTTTACCAATGGCCAGTCTGCCTATGTTCTAGTCGTGCTTGATCTTGAGTTTTGGTTGAACTGAGGAAAAAATTCATTGGTGAGACTGAGCAAAGTGCACTTTAAAATCACTACAGCAGTTTGTTCTCTATCAAATGTTTCATGACCTGCAATTAGCCAGTGAGAGCAGGGTCGTCCTTAGCGATTTTTGTAAGACGGGTTTGAAGCCTTTGAGCTATTGCGTGAAAGCAGTTTCTATTGGGTTTACCTAGGGGAGTTGAAGGTAATAGAACGAATTGGTCATGTTAAGACAAGTGGAGCAGCGTCATAGTCAACGTTGTTGGTCCAACTCTCCAACATCGTAGTGACCGGACACTTGGGTTTTCTTCCTTCTCTGTTTGACTAAAACTGGTCAAAAGTATCTTCCTTGTTTTACGAATGGCCAGTCTGCCTATGTTTCTAGTCGTGCTCGATCTTGAGTTTTGGTTGAGCTGAGTAAACAAAGTCATTGGTGAGAACTTAGCAAAGCAAAGCCCCCGTGATCATGACACTCTGTCATGACGGCTTTTCGACGTTGTAGTCACGGAGATAGCTAAGCTGGCACCTTAACTAAGCCTGCCTGTTTTGGGACCAAAAACTTGGTACTTTGTACCACCGAACCGATTCTTTCAATTTCTCTTTTCAAGGTGCAGATTTTAAGAATGTGCAAGTTCAGCATATGTTCTGTTAATGGGGTCATGGAGTTTATAAATTGCGCAATCATGCGCTTGTGTCTCTCCTTCCCTAATTTTTAGCAAATCAAACCAGTCGCGTCGATCGTTGCAATCAGAAATTTTGCTCTCACCATACTCTGATATTGTTCATATTGATTAGATCTTCTCACGGCAACATCTATATTAGTGTGCAAATTGGTTAAATTTTATTCATATTATATACTAGTGGTGTCACATTAGCTGAATTTGGTTCGATTTGATAGCGGAGGGATTTGTTTAACTTAACGGAACTTCATTAGACGATTAAAAAGGACTTGAAAGCATAGAGACAAAAGGTAGGAGTTTTCATTTTCATAAAAGAGGACAATGCGAGTCCTAGTAATTACATGATTAGCGGCATTAATGAATTCTATATGTCATCGAGCCAACCCACTTGCTCCGCGCCAGCCGAAGGCGTCTACGTCGTGCGTGGACGGAAAACGACGGGTCTCGCTCTTGCCAAAGAGAGAAAAACAAAGTAAAAATGGACCACAGGACGACCGGCGTGAGCTGACCCGTTCAACAGCAAGAAAATAAGGCTTCCAATCCAAACATTTTTTCATTTTGATTATGCCCTCCATAAAAAGCATGGCGTTCAAAGTTGGGCATTGATCTGCCTCGGACCGTTTCCCCTTGATCACGGCAAAAAGATTGAACGACTTGAACGCAGGTCTAGTTCACCGGATTCAACGACCCGAACCGGGGTCACCCCAAACTGTGAAATTCGGTACAGAGCATGCGAGAAGTCGGCATGATTATGTGTCGGATTTCGTTCACTATCTTTGTTCTTAGGACACAAGGAAAGAAAAAGCACCGCCCTTGAAAGGGCGCACGATATTTGATTGGGTATAGGGGGCATAAGAAAAGTATGAATAAATGGGAGGTGGTTCATGTGGCTACATTATCCGTCGACGACTCGAAGGAGGAGGGGCGGACGTAAACAATAGTTTCTTCTATCGATGTCTTCACATGTTTTCTAGCTACGTTTGTCGTGCAGCGTGGTATGATGGGGTTTGACCCGGCCAAAAGCGGCCTCGGACATCAGGGGATTTAGAGGGTGTTTGGTTCAGCTTTGGGAAAGGATTTTGAGTCTCGAAAGTCCCTACTCAAAATGCTGAGTTATTTGGTTTAACTTTCATGCTAGCATTTGGAATGCTATTGTTCACGTCTCTCTTTTTTTTTGTTTTTTTTGTTTGAAGCTATTCATCTTCTTTACCAGGCAGCCGGCGAGGGCGGCTGGCGAGGGAGAAGGGCCGGCGAGGTCGCCTGGGATCGGGCGACCGCCCAGGCGACGCAGTCGCTCGACCCAGGCCGTCGCCGCCTGGGTCGCGCGACTCCAGGCGGCGACGGCCTGGGTTGAGCGACCCGGCCGCCTGGTCGTGCGACCTCAGGCGATGCCGTCACTGGGGTCGCGCGACCCCCGCCTAGGGTCACTTGGCCTCGGGCGACCGGCGGCGACGGCAGATCTGGCTCGCCGGGGGTTGCCCGACCTCGGGCGATGGCCGCTTGCGCCAGATCTATTTCACCGGCGGCCGTAGGGCATCACCGGCGGCTGGCTCCGGTGATGGGTAGGTTAGTTTTTTTTTTTTAATAAATAAGATAATTCTCAAAGTTCATTTGCAAAAAAAAATTGCCCAAACACCAATGGGCTTTCACCCAAAGATATTTATAATTTCTCAAGTAGCATTTTTAAAGATGAACCAAATCTCTGAAAAATCTCTTTTCACATTCCGAGGATCCGAGTGGCCGAGCTTCATCTCCCTTTCTCGACTTTTCTTGCGGCGAAGTGACGGTGAGAACCGAAGAGGCTCCCCTTCATTTTCTTGACTTGTCGTGATCATCTTCCTATTTGCTCTGTTGTTGGGCTTACCTCCGCTTAGCGATCCCTCTGGCCCTGATCGCGTTTCTTGATCTTTGACCCGTTCTTCATCTCTCCCTCTCTCTCTCTCTCTCTCTCTCTTTCTGTGGACACGGCTCAAGCCGAACCATTTCAATTCTCGGACGTGTTTGCTGCTTCGAGTACAAATATCTGATAGCCTGTCCCAGGAGGAACTTGCGCGGCCATGGATAGGAAAAGCAGCAGCAGTCCATGGCTGTTCACACTCCCAAGCTTCTTGCTCTGCTTCTTATCTCTCTGCCCCACCCACCTCTGTCTTGGCTCCGACACCGACACCATCTCCGCTAACCGGTCCATCTCCGGCAACCAAACCTTAGTCTCCTCCGGCGGCAACTTCACGCTCGGCTTCTTCACACCGGGTAACTCCACGTACTCCTACATAGGCATCTGGTACAACAAAGTCAGCGTGCCAACCATCGTCTGGGTCGCCAACAGAGACAACCCCGTCTCCGACAGGTACTCCACTGAACTGAAGATCTCGGGTGGCAATCTTGTTATGGTCAACGACTCCCGAGTCCCCGCTTGGTCCACGAATCTGAGTACTTCTTCATCTGGGTCGAGCTCCACGGTGGCGGTTCTTGGGGACGACGGCAACTTCGCTCTCAAAGACGGGCCTAATTCTTCCGTGACTCTGTGGCAGAGCTTCGATCATCCGACGCACACGTGGCTTCCCGGTGCGAAATTAGGGATCGACAAGCGCACGAACACGAGTCAGCTCTTGACATCATGGAAGAACGCCGAGGACCCCTCGCCAGGTTTGTTCTCTCTCCAGCTCGATCCATCCAGTCAGTACTACATATGGTGGAATAGATCAAAAAATTACTGGAGCAGTGGGGTGTGGAACTATCAGACGAAAACTTTCTCTTTGGTCCCTGAAATGAGGTTGAACTATATTTACAATTTCAAATATGTGGACAATGAGAACGAGAGCTACTTCACCTATTCAGTCTACATCACTGACGACACCATATCAAGGTTTGTGATGGATCTTTCTGGGCAGATCAAGCAGGAGTCCTGGTTGCCTTCTAACCAGGCGTGGAACTTGTTCTGGTCTCAGCCTCGGCAACAATGCGAGGTGTATAGACTTTGCGGGCCTTTCGGTGTTTGCAGCGAGAGTACCAACAATTTCTGCACCTGCTTGCCGAGGTTTAGCATCAGCTCTCCGAGGGATTGGAATCTGAGCGATTGGTCTGGCGGTTGCAAGAGGAATTTGGACTTGAATTGTGCGGCAAATGCTTCGAATGGGGAGAAAGACCGTTTCTTGCCAATGTCTAACATGAAATTGCCTGATAATCCCCAATCTTTAGATGTCGGGAGCGATAAGGAATGCCGAGCTGCTTGTTTGAGCAATTGCTCTTGCACGGCTTATGCTTTCGAGGATAATGACTGCTCAATTTGGATTGGGGATCTCTTCAATACACAACAGCCCACACAAGGTGATACCACTGCAAAAAGCTTCTATCTCCGGCTTGCTGCCTCAGACGTTGAGGATCCAAGCAAGAAGAGCAACATAACTGCGATAGTTGCAGGGTCTGTTAGCGCTGCGGTAGCGATATTAGCCATTGTCTTGTTTGGCGTTTGGAGATGGAGGAGAAGGGCAACTGTGACAACACAGACAGTGGAGGGTTCACTGATAGCCTTTGCATACCGGGACTTGCAAGTAGCAACAAAGAATTTCTCAGAGAAGTTGGGTGGGGGCGGGTTCGGTTCAGTTTTCAAAGGAACATTACCTGATTCAAGTCACATAGCAGTCAAGAA